TTTGCGCACACGCACACACACTTTCCCCCTCTCCATACGTCACATCCACACGCATCATCTCTCCCCTCTGTTACCGTCAAAGTTGCACACTGGCGCGGGTCAGAACTACATTGGAGCTTACATTTACACACACGCATACATGTATTGTACACACACACACACACACACACCGGTCTGTCGCGCTCCTCTGTGTCACGGAGCCAAAGGATTCGCGCAAATACGCGGCTCCAGTCAAACCACATGGAACATGTTTGTGTTTATGGTCCTCGGGATCAGCTCCACACACATCACTTGCATTTAAACTTCTGCAAAGACCTGTGAGACGCGGCTCGTCACTCGCTGCTCTGACCATGTGAACGAGCCGTCGTTTGCTGCTAGAAAGTTTTGGTTTTAACCCGCAGCACAGCAGAATGGTAAGATTAAAACAGCAGTTCTCTGTGCACAAAGGTGCCGAAGCTGTTGCTGGTTTTGGCGCCGCTGTCTCAGCTCTGATCCAGCAGAACGCAGAGCTGCACTTATGGAAAGTACGCGGCTCGAAATGGCTGTTATTTCAAAGAACGTGGACTATTTTAAACTACGCTGTGAACCGGTTTCAACCGGTTAATGAGGCTCGGTGGTCGGTCATAAAAATTCATAGTTTTTTACATCCCTAGTTCTGTTTATTAGTCACGCTGACTTCCAGACATCTTAGACGTCTTATTTGATCTAATAATGTCTGGCGCACCTAATAGAAATCAGCCTTTATCCAGATATATAACGTAATAATCAGTAGACACCTGTAGAGTGCAGTATTGCCCTACTGTTGGGGTCATGGGGAGAGGGATGAGGATAGCAAACATGGATAATAATACCAATAGCAGAGACAGCCTTTTCCTGCTCGAGATGTTTCTGTTTTCAAAAAGCTAGTTAGGCCCGAGCCCCAACTGGGGTAAGGGCCTATTGCTTTTCAAACGAGTAATGCCTGGGCGAAGCCCTGCACGCGACGGCACGTGCCCAAGCACTGATAAATCCGTGCCGGAGGCACGGAATGGCTTTGCTCCTGCTGCAGTACACAGTGAATGATTGGTGAGCTTCCTGTTCTGGAGGTTCTTAATAAATCCAGACTTTTAAACAAAGCTCTTAAAATCATCAATGACTCTTCTGGCCACCCTGGGAAAGCCATGTTCCAGCTTCTTCCCTCTGGCAGAAGATATCGGTCGCTGAGATGCAAGACATCTCGCTATGCTAACAGCTTCTTTCCACAGGCTGTTAGGTGCCTAAACAGAGCACTTTAATTCCTGCTTTTACCCCTTGTATCGTTTTGTTGATCGGTGCCACAGTGTCAATGGTTTTAATTATTTTATATTCAGTGTATGTGTATTTTATATTACATTGTATCGTGCTTTTTATTCTGTCGGTGCACACAGAGTACCTTTTTTTGCAAATGTATTCCAATGTAGTTTTTATACTGCACATGGCAAATAAAATGAATCTGAATCCGAAGAGGAGGTCCTAATAAAGGGGGGTTCTTTCAACTGTCTTACGGACGAATGTCTCCCAAACCCGACGGCATGTGACGGCACCAGACGAGTTACACTACCAAGTATAGTAACACAGAAATGTAACATGTCGATTTTCTCAGCGGATAAAAAGGGGTACTATATATTGAGGCGTAGTAATACGAGGAGCACTACGTCCGCGCACTAACTTCTATAGACTTCTCTCCCACTCACGCTGCTTCTATTGACGGAAGTGAGCGGGAGAGAAGTCTTTGGAGTTAGTGCGCGGACGTAGTGCTCCTCGTATTACTACGCCTCTCAATATAGTACCCTTTTTATCCGCTGAGAAAATCGACATTGTTACATTTCCGTGTTACTATACTTTGTAGTGTAACACGTCACGTAACTGTATTTAAATAGGGAACACGTGGAAGACTTTGGTAGCTTCTAACGGGAGCTGATTTGGAACTATACAGTATGACAGAGCGCACGGACAAAGACCAGACAGGTACATATTAACTAGTCTAAGGTAAGGTAAGAACATATGTCAGTATGTAAAAACGGTGGCCTATTCCTTTAAGAAGAAAAAAAGTTCAGGATGACAAGGGACACTATATAAAATTTGACCTTTATGAAAGCTGTAGGTTCTCTGTCAGCTGAGGTGTAGCTTTTTTAGTTTACATTTCTGTGGGGAACATTTCTGGGTAGCCCACGTGAATTTAGTCTGGTTTAGTCTGCAGTACAGCGAGAATCCCCCGAGCACGTGGGTTCTTCAGCTCCAAGCTAGTAATACCCTATCCAGACATTATAATAGATCCATGTGGTAGGTACACTAACTAGCTACGTGTGCTTCGAGCGCTACACAAAGCATATTTTTCCTTTCTCCAAACTAAACCGCGCAAATCTCTAGTTTCAGTTTCCATTTTTGCTGCTGCTGTTACATTTTTCTTCTTTCACATCTATGCAGTGGCCTGAGGAGGAGGTTGTTGAGGAAGTGATTATACCTCTGGGGGTCATGAGTGTTGCGTTGTAACATTCTACTGCCCACTATTGACCGGGCGCTAGAACTACTTTGTTTTTCGTCGTGGTGTAGATACTCTTCGAATAAGGAGCCTGGTTGTTTTTGCTAATTTCTTTGTTAGGTCTCCACAGCGTCACGGTTTAAACGGGGTCCGAGAGAGATCTATGGAACAGTCTACCAAACAACTCAAGGGCTCTGGAAAAATTACAACATTTTTTAATAGTATAAATTAAACGTTATGGAAAAGTACAGAACACTTGAGTTGGATTATCCTTAATACTTTATACAGATTATTAAAGTGCCATCTCTGTCAAAGTCACAGCTGCCACAGGGCTGAGGCAGGATCAGTCTGGACTTCAGCCTAAACCTCTTTCAGTCGTGCCTTGTTTAGCACTAACATAATTAAAATACACGACTTGGTTCTTCTTTCTTATTGTAAAATGTAAATGATCTTTGAAAACATATGACCTGAATTCTATGTTCCTAACGACTTCTTCTACAGCCTGCGACGAGAAAGTACCAGATCAGATTATTGGTCTCATTGTCTCAGTGTGCATGAATGCAGTAACCCAAGAGCAAGAGGCTCGTAAAAACACAGACATGAGCTTTTCTGGTTTTGGGAAACTTAAGACTGATATCTAAGGACACATGTGTGAACCTCTATGGTGTCAAATAGGGCTGCACAACATTGGAAAATAGAGCGATATATGATATGAGTGGTATTGCGATAACGATATTATTGCGATATTTTTGTCTTTCTCCAAAAATTGCAATCTGCATTGAAACGCAAGAGACAAATCACAAAAAATAAGCACAACATTAAACGCATATATTTATATACTTTTGTGTTTGTTTGTTGTTCTTGTTGAATGTTGATGTGTCTGTCTGTTTTGTTGTCTTTTTTTTTATAAAAAAATATATATATCGTGCATCTTTTTGATATGCATATCGCAGGCACCAATATCGCGATAACAATATTTTTTGATATATTGTGCAGCTCTCGTTTCAAAGTCCTGGCAGTGGACAGTACAGACAGCTTTAAGTCCAAATATATTAAACACTTAGCTCCACAAGGTTATTGTAAAAAAAATACACACATGTGCACCTACACTCAAGGAGAGTAGGTGCACATGGTCATAGCAGCACTGCCCTTGTTTCTGAGAGACGAGAAGGCTAACCACTCAGCCACAATTGACTTTTAACTGTTATTGTTGGAATATAGCCTAAACATAGGTTGAACATAGGTTGGTGCAAGGACTAGGACAGAGACTAGGACAGGGACTAGGACAGGGACTAGGACAGAGACTAGGACAGGGACTAGGACAGGGACTAGGACAGAGACTAGGACAGAGACTAGGACAGGGACTAGGACAGAGACTAGGACAGAGACTAGGACAGAGACTAGGATAGAGACTAGGATAGAGACTAGGACAGAGACTAGGGCAGAGACTAGGACAGGAACTAGGACAGGGACTAGGACAGGAACTAGGACAGGGACTAGGACAGGGACTAGGACAGAGACTAGGACAGAGACTAGGACAGAGACAGGGACAGAGACTAGGATAGGAACTAGGACAGAGACTAGGATAGAGACTAGGACAGGAACTAGGACAGGAACTAGGACAGAGACTAGGACAGGGACTAGGACAGAGACTAGGATAGAGACAGGGACAGAGACTAGGATAGAGACTAGGACAGAGACTAGGACAGGACCTAGGACAGGGACTAGGACAGGGACTAGGACAGAGACTAGGACAGGGACTAGGACAGAGACTAGGACAGGAACTGGGACAGAGACTAGGACAGAGACAAGGACAGAGACTAGGACAGGGACTAGGACAAGGACTGGGACAGAGACTAGGACAGAGACAGGGACTAGGACTTTGAGAAGGACTAGGACACTTCTATGTATATAAGGTGTATGTGGTTCTTTCTGTCAGACCTGCACTAAACCGTGGGCACTCAGTGGATTAACGCTAGAACTCCCAGAGCAGTCAATTTGATTTTTTTGTGTGCCAGTTTTTCAAATTCATAACGTAGTTTATTCAATGTAATTATGTTTAAGAAATGATCTCGATCCTAGAGCTGGTCCTAGCCTGGTTCTAGTAGTTTCAGAATTCTATTAATTTCAATGGGACCCGTCAAAAAGACTAGTAATTATTTCAGAGTGTAATTAATTGGAATGGGAGACTTAAAAAGACTGCTCAGGGAATTCTTGTAGTTTCAGACTCCCATTAATTTCAATGAGAGATGTCAAAACGACTGTAATGGTAAGTCTAGTTTCAGGATTCCATTAATTTGAATGGGAGCCGTCAAAGAGACTACTCTAGAGTTAAATCATCTACGGTCGCGTCAGTACAACAGTGTCATTCACAAAACCAGGAGCTCCATTGGACTGTCCCGTCTCTGCACTGCACCAAAACACATATTAAAACCTAAAACACAGACACACACACACGCACATACACACACACACGGGCAGACACACACTGGATCTTTACCTTGCGAACGAGCCCAGCCGTGGTGTGCGATGGTGAGACGCGACGCCAAAGGGAGCCTCGCAAACTACCCCAGAGTAGCGCCGCTAGATGCGAGATTAACTCAGGCATTAAAATCCACAGAGCAGAGGCCGCGGAGAAATGTTAGGATCCAAAAGCGACGAGCAGGGACCGGAGGGACTGCGCCGCTCGCCATGTCTGTGCGTAGCGGCGCTGGAAGCAGCACCAGGCGTTTGGACGCGTGTAGGCGTGGCTTTGCGCGTTTGGGCGTGGTTATGCAAATGATGTCTCCGGCTGCTTTAGTTTTGTGATACAGGTCTGATTTGTTTCATTGAGTGACTGAATAACTTATAAAGGATACAAGAACCATAAAATAATACATCATCATGATTCGACTGTTTTTGATCTTTTTATTGTTTTGTTTATGTTTAGTTATAACACTATTACTATTACACTATTACTCCAACAAATATATATATATATATATATATATATATATATATATATATATGTGTGTGTGTAATTTATAAATGTATTATATATTTAGTGTATTGGCCGATTCCTCTGCATGTCTTTATCATGTGTTTTTGAGCCAAAGCAAATTCTTAGTTTGTGACTTCCCGTTGTCAATGGTAATAAAAAGATTTCTGATTCTAATCTAATCTTATGAGAATAATGTGTCCACACCATAGACTGTATTGTCCACACTCGCTGTGGAGGAGGTGCCTAGTGTCCAGGCCCCGCCCAGGCACTAGATGCCCGGGCCGGAGCGTGAAGAGGGGGGAGAGGGCAGGAGAGAGGGAGGGGGGGCAGGTTACTGGAGGTGGCTTCCCCGCTCAGGGCGTGCGTAAAGCCGATGTGCGTAAAGCCCGCCCCCTCCCGTTCATGCCTTTTTCCAGTAAAGACAGACGTACGGGAACAGCAGAGAGAGAGTGAGGCGAACGGGGGGAGGGGGGAGGAGAGAGAGAGGAGAGGGAAGGAGAGAGAGACACACACACACAGAGACAGAGAGAGGGGGGAGAGACAGAGAGAGGGAGGGAGGGAGGGAGAGAGAGGCACACAGAAAGAGAGAGGGGGGAGAGACAGAGAGAGGCACACAGAGAAAGAGAGAGGGGGAGGGGGAGAGAGACTCACAGAGAGAGAGAGACAGAGAGAGATTGCCAATAAATAATCATCTACTATATGACCTTTTGCAGTTTCCTGGTAATGCACCGCACGATTCTCGACAAAGGTGAAAAAAGGAAAGTGACAGCGCACGAGAGCAGCAGCTAAATGAGAAAATCAGGTTTTGTTTTTATTAGTGACGAAAAAGTGTTTAAAGGCTGAGAATGAGGAAAAAGAACCTCAGTAAGGTTTGTATGAGACACATTCACACTGAGTCAAGTTATTGTGGGTTCAGCAAATGTCTCTGAAATAAAACTGATTTAAACATAGAATAATAACAGCAGTGCACAAGAGAAGTATGTCTACTGGAGTAGTAGTAGTAGTAGTAGAAGCTAAGCGTGGCAGGGCCTGGGAAGGACTGTAATGGGAGACCTAAAGCAAACGCTTAAGGTAAAGCAAAAAATTCAGAGCTCAAACGCTGAAGCCTCGCTCACCAGATGCGCATTCTCTAGTTTTCAGACGCAGGGGACTTCACACCAGAAGTGCCGGAAGTAGCCGGCCGGCTCTGATGCTAACAGTTATGCTAGCGGCTTCTCGTGTAAAGATCTTCTCCAATAATGCAGCTTGGCAGCGTGTCTGTGTTCAGAGACCTTCTCAGACTTTATATAACAGTAGTATGTGTTCACGGAGGTGCGCAATAAGTTTATTTTATTATTAAACGGTACTTCCGCATCTGCGAATACACTCGAAGCAGTTGCATAAAGTCACGGGAGCATGACAACGCATATATTCACAAGCACACAGTCCCCCATTGTCAACCCTGGTTTAGTCCTGGTGTAGCTCCTGTTTTTTCAGTCTGCTCGCTCAGACCACTAATGTCCCCGTGACCACTTTGCGGCTCTCGGATTGGTTGCTGCACGAACGTCCCAAGGAAAGATTGAGCAAAGTTTATCTCCTGTGGGCGTCGATTTTCCGCTCGTGCTCCTCCCCTTTGACTTTCCCGCGCAGTCCGTGCGTCTCTACTGCGCAGTCCGTGCATGTGTGCCAAGAGGTCCGTGCGTTTTGACGCCCGAACGCGTGTCACCATGGACTTTGCATTGAAAGCAGACGCAACGCATGATACGGTCTGAACGCGGCTTTAGACAAGTCACTTCACATTCTTTGTCCGGTATATGTAGTGTATGTGTTTATGTGTGTGTGTGTGTGTGTGTGTGTGTGTGTGTGTGTGTGTGTGTGTGGACAGGCTTGCCTGGATGGAGCTAAAACCACCTCCAGGTCATTGACTGATGAGGAACAGTATCATAATGTGGAAAAAATGTCTCCTTTAAAACTGCCTATACTCTTGTATAATAACAATAGTAACAACTGTAACCATAGCAACAACAGTAACCATAGTAACAGCAGTAACAACAGTAACCATAGTAACAACAGTAATCAACAGTAACTGTAGTAACAAAAGTAATTATAGTAACAACAGTAACTATAGGAATAACAGTAAATACAGTAATAACACTAACAATAGTAACTATAGCGGTCGCTGTCCTGGTCTCACAGCCGGATCCCTGAGTATAATCTTCTCTGATTGGCCGGCGGCTTTCATGCGGACGACACGTTTATATAATGTTTGTTGTATTGATCCTAATTGCTCGTTAAAGTAATCGCTGTGTAATTTGATGACAGTAAGCGGCGCCTGGAGGAAATCCCACAATCTGAAATATTAATAAGCAGAATTATACTCCTCTGATTGTTCATCTGTGAACCACACGGTTTAATATGCATCACTTTATATAGTGGCGCCCCCTGCAGGAGAGAGCCAGACCTGTAGAAGTAGTAGCAGTAGCAGCGATAGTAGTAGTAGTAGTAATAGAACTAGTACTAGTTGGTGCTACCTGCCAGATCCTGTTAGACCTATGAAGCTAAGCAGAGCAGGGTCGATGGCACTGACTGGTTGCCTTGCTTCTGTCAGTTTGCCCCAGGACGGCTGTGGCTAGAGTAGTTTATCACCACAGTGAATGGAGTGAATGAAAAATGCTGTGAAGAGTCTTTGAACGGCCAAAACAGTATAAAACTGATGGATAAATGGCATAACAAAAACAGGTTCTGTCAGACTGTACAACGAGAATGTGTAACAGGAACTGCTAATCAGTCAGTGATAATTCAGTAACTTTGTAACTTTACCTGTTATCAGTACTACTGCATTATTACATATCTGATATTTACCTGTTATCAGTACTACTGCATTATTACATATCTGATATTTACCTGTTATCAGTACTACTACATTATTACAAACCTGATATTTCTGCCTTTCACCGTCACTTTACCTGTTGATATTATTTCTGATGTTTATTCTGCTCATATTCATATTCTCTTATTCTCCGCGGCTAATGTATAATATAGACATCTGTAAATACTTCCGAACCAAGTGCAATTATAGCCCAGAGTTTATCTTATTTTATTTTATTTTATTCTTATCTTAATTTGATTGTCTATTATCTTAAATAATAGAATATTTGATGTGTGCAACGATGACACTGAAATTTCTCCACTGTGAGACTAATAAAGGTTTATCTTTTCTTATCTTATCATTTGCTTCCTGGTGAAAATGACATCTGTTTTTTCGTCTTCTTCGTTTTTTCGAGTTGGATGGAACTGGTTTTGCTTCAATACTTTCCATTGTTCCTTCTGAAAGACAACGGAACTCAGTCAGATGCTTGGAATGTGCCTCAGTCTGACACAAAACCTGTGTATTTGATTTCAGACTTTTACTGAAGAAAACGCTGGATTCCAACACTGCTCTCCTCTCCGCAGACCAGACTCTCACCTGTGGTTCGCTCTGTGCCCGTTCTGCTCCAGTCAGAGTCTAGTTTGTCGAGATTCATTTAGGAGTCTGTGAAAAACACTATAGTACTAATGTGTAGTTCTCTCTCTGGTCTCTCTTTCAGGTCTCTCTTTCTCTGGTCTCTCTCTCTTGAATCTCTCTCTGGCATTTCTCTTTGGCCTCTCTCTGGTCTTAAGTCTCTCTGGTCTCTCTTTGGCGTCTCTAGTCTCTCACTAGTTTCTCTCTAGTCTTTCTGATCTCTCTCTGGTCTCTCTCTCTCTAGTCTCTCTCTCTTGAGCCTCTATTTGGCCTCGCTCTGGTCTTTCTCTGGAGTCTCTCTGGTCTCTCTAGTCTCTCTCTCATCTCTCTGTCACTGTTCTGTTTGAGAAAAGCTGACCTAAAGCTGTGCCAGGGGCCAAAGTTACATAAAAACTAGTGACAGAAGCAGCTGTTTTGGATCCTGGAACCAGAGACGTGTATTTTATTACAGTTTTGTGGTGTCAAAGTTCAGTACGGTGTCAACACCTCCTCAAAGAGCGAGGAATCTTTCTCAACAGAGAGAGAGGCTGGACACACAGAACAGATTCAGAACTGGCAACATTTCCCCCTATTTATATTTATATCGTCTTTCTCTGAACAAGCTACATTCCAGTATTTTAGTAATTGTCATTGTACCATAACGCAGATTAGAAAATTCCTTGTTTATACATACACTTGTATAGAGTTGTATGGAAGAACCATGTGAGTCACTATTTGACCCTTTGGGCTGAGGAGGTCTTCTCACTTCAGACTGGAACCTGATCTAAACTGAGGCCGAGGCAGAAATACACTGTCCATGTGTGAGTGTAAAGGAACAGTGTGTAACAGGGAGCAGGGACCACGGACCAGGGACCAGGGACCAGGGGACCAGGGACCAGACCCCAAGGACCAGGGACCAGGGACCAGAGACCAGAGACCAAGGACCTAAGACCAGAAATACACTGTCCATGTGTAAGCTGTATTTTTAAAGGAACAGTGTGACTTTAGACACAGCTCTGTCCAAACTCTGTCAGTGCTGCCAGTCTGTGAGAGGAAATTGTGCTGTTTTTTGGCTCTGACCTTTAAAAAAAACAACTATTATTGTTTTAATATTTACAAAATTCCCATACGATAAAAAATAGCTGCACACATGTTTAGATTAGGAGCCAAGAGAGAAGAACAGACCAACATGTGGGTCAAAACAATAACACAACATCAAATCAGCCTGGCACTGGATTGTTAAAAAAAGTTAAAACATATTGCTTTTTGCAAGCTAAGCAGGGCAGGGCCTGGTTAGTGCTGTGATGGAAGACTTCTGGGGACACCAGGGGCCACAGTGGCGGCTGTAAAGTACCAAAGTGTCAAGACACTTCACACACATTAGATTGAGTCCGGTGTGTGTGTGAATGGTTGGTGGTGGTGGGAGTCTGTTGGCACAGACTGGTTGCCTCGCTCCTGTCAGTGTGCCCCAGAGCAGCTGTGGCTAAAGCAGTTTATTATGAAGTGAAAGAATACAACTGCTCTGGTCTCTCTCTGGTATCTGTGATCCCTCTCTCTCGTCCCTCTCTGGTTTTTCTCCGGTCTCTCTCTCTGTTTTCTTCCAGGTCCCTCTCTCTCTGTTCTCGTCCTGGTCCCTCTCTCTCTCCCTTGTCTCTCTCTCTGGGCTCTCTCTATAGTCTCTCTCTCTGGCCTCTCCATGGTCCCTCTCTCTCTGGTCTCTCCCTGGTTCCTCTCTCTCTGGTCTCTTCCAGGTCCCTCTCTCTCCGTTCTCGCCCTGGTTCCTCTCTCTCTCCCTTGTCTCTCTCTCTGGGCTCTACCTGGTCCCTCTCTCTCTGGTTTCCTCCTGGTCCCTCTCTCTCTGGTCTCTCCCTGGTCCATGCATGTGTATTTTTTGAGTATTTGTTGTTGTAGATTCCTGACTGAGGCCAACAGGTCCGAGAGAGAATCATTACATTGAATAATGGTGAAAGCACCTCGTGACTCTGCTCTCCCTTAAATTGAGTTATTGTTTTAATGCAATAACAGAACAGCACGTCCTGTCCCGAGCGGACTCTTGTCGTTCCAACACTCGCCGCTAGTGGCCGCATTTATTGAAAAGAGAATAAAACTAAACAAACCAGTAACTTTAATTTAAATGTGACGAATGCGTTTTGGACCCGAACATGAGCAATAGTATACTTTGATATTCCGCTGATTGCATTTCTTTCTCGTTGTCATGTCTCGCGTTGTTGATAAAGCTGGGTTCAAAGTGCTATCAGAGCCGTAATGGCGGCGCCCGTGTCCTGGAGGAAGCTTCTGAACTCTGTGTCTCCCGCAGTTACCGGGGCCTTCAGCCGCATCACGGACCGTCTCTGCAGAGCCCGGGACCGGGGCGGAGGGTAAGACCCGGACCAGGGAGGAGGGTGAGACGCAAGGAAGGACGCGGAGGCTGAGGAGGCAAAGTGACCGCGGGACGTCCCCATAACAAGCGCATAACGTGGGTCCTGCGCTGGACCAGGGACCCGAGGACCAGGGACCCGAGGACCAGGGACCCGAGGACCAGGGACCCGAGGACCAGGGACCCGAGACAAATTCGGGAGTCCACATTCATAATTTTAGCTCGTTTTATAGACATGTATTTAAAGCTGCGGTACGTCAGGTTTGTCCTGCTGTCGTCATTTAATCAGAAAATCTGTTTCTTGAGAGAGAAAGATCCCTGTGAGTCACTGAGAGCTGATTGGCTGAGTGAGGTTGGTCTTCTCTGTCACTCTTTTGTCTGATAAAGCAGATCAGAAGCCAAATATGCATCAGTAATGATGTGGGAAAATGTATTCTGTTAATTAACAGATATTTTACAATTAAACCGATACAGAAGCAAAGTATTGTGATATTTAACTCAATAATTATCTATTTCGCTTTTTGTGTTTTCTGAGTTTACGCCGGTCTGTGTGTGTGAATAATGTACGTGATGTGCTGGGATCTCAGTATTCATGTTAGAGTTGTCTATTCAGAAAGTAATGATGTCTTGTCTGTAATGAGGTCTTGTGTCCTGAATCTTCAAGGATAACGTTTTGGCAATTCCCTCCTCAGTGTTTGAATAATATGAGGCACATGAATCACAAGTTATCATAGAATCAAATCACAATACTTTCTGTATCGCAATATGTTAAGAATCGCAATAATATTGTATTGAACATTTTCACCAGTTCCCAGCCCTGGTTGTCGGACAATTATCCAGAGAAGGAGTAGAGCCGGATCTAGATGTTTATTGTCTGTGTTTGTAAAGGATTAGAGAGAGTTCTGCTGATGCTGGAAACACGAAAAACATGAATAGTTAACACTTGTGCCGGATCTACACAACTGCAGTCTGAATACGAACTGGAGCAAAAGAAAAAAGTTTGGTCCGCTTTTGATTCGGATCAAGCAAGCGGAGCAAAGGACTTTTCAGGTCTGAATACACCCTAACTCTGTGGCTCAAACTCTAACCCCAAATACCAGTGAGAAAAATGTGTGAGAATTTGATCAAAAGTCTCACTCTATTCAATAATACTATTCAATAGTTTTCAGGTTCTAAAAAGCACCTTGTTGTGCTTTCTCTCTGGAGTCTCTCTCTCTAGTCTCTTTCTCTCTGGAGTAGGCCTGTCACGATATTTTTTTTTGCCTGGCGATAAATTTCTTTATTTCTTAAATTATCTCAATAAACGATAATATCTTTACACGGCGTTTTTATTGCAAGAATTAAAAAATACAGTAAAACAATTGTATAAATAACCAGAAAAAGAACAATATTGGAGGTAGCACAACAGGAACAATACTTTAAAGTGCTTAAAAAATATATAAACAGAAATAGCATTGAGGTATCAAAACTAGAACATTTTAAAGTGCTTTAAAGAAATCAAATGTTTAACCAGCCACCAGACATGGTGCCTTCCTAAGAAATTATGAAATTCAAAACAATATTTCACTTGACAAATGTATAAACGTAAATTGCCTTGTTCAGAATAATAGTTTTAGCAATTGCGAGCGAGGAAAACCAACATGTTAACCTTGTGTGGTTTAAGGACCTCTCAGGGGTCGCTATGTTCCCTGCTGTGCTGAACATTCGTTCTGAACTCGTGCTTGTGGCACAAATGCATTTCACCTTGGAGAGACCCATGAGGAAAATGCCGTTAGACTTAGATTTAAGCATGTTTATTGATTGAGCATGTTTGGCGCCCTAGGCCCGGGAGGGATGCTGTTGAGCACGGCGCTTGCTCGCGTGCATAGTCCCCCCAGGGGCCTAGGCACTGGTGGCGGCAGAGGCAGTAGGCAAGCACGCTTTGGTGAGAAAAGGAGGAGGTGGGGCGGCGGAGGCTTGCAGACTTCAGAAGGCCGGGAAGTGGGAGTCTCCGGCTTTTAACTTGCTGTCTTGGTGGTTATTGGTTGGCTGGATGTGGGCGTTGCTGGTCTGATGAGCCGAGGAAGAGCAGATCTGGGCAAGCAGCAGCCGGGTCTACCACAGTGAACTTTCGCGAAAGCTCCATTTCACATTGGAGAGACCCATGAGGAAAAGTAAATGAAGCAGCAGCAGCAGTAGCAGCAGCTGCAGCATCCGTAGATAATAACAGTAATAATCCTGTATCAAAGCCAGAGCAGTAGAATATTGTTGTAGCTGTTTAGTGTTTCAGTAAAAGAGATGCAAGTGAAGAGAGATGTCAAAGTACATGAAGCAGCAGCAGCACGGCAGCAGTAGCAGTATGAGCAGCAGCGGCAGCAATAGCAGCAGTAGCGGTAGCAGTATGAAGCAGCAGAAGCAGCATTAGCAGGAGCAGCAGTAGCAGTATGAAGCAGCAGCAGTAGCAGCAGTACGAAGCAGCAGCAGCAGCAGCGGTTGCAGCATCCGTAGATAATAACAGCAATAATCCTGTATCAAAGCCACAGCAGTAGAATATTGTTGAAGCTGTTTAGTGTTTCAGTAAAAGAGATGCGAAGTGAAGAGAGGTGTCAAAGTAAAGAAGCAGCAGCAGCACGGCAGCAGTAGCAGTATGAAGCAGCAGCGGCAGCAATAGCAGCATTAGCGGCAGCAGTAGCAGCAGTAGCGGTAGCAGTATGAAGCAGCAGAAGCAGCATTAGCAGCAGCAGCAGCAGCACAATGCGATTCATACAAACAACAGACGTGTCACGCCAGCGTGCGCCGCTTGTCTCCGTGAGCCAGGTTACATACGTGTCTGAAAGAGCCAAGCCGTAGAGACAGGTGCCGCCCGGGAGCCCGCGGCGCGGCAGCGGCAGGAACAGCAGCAGCGGCACATGTAGTAGTAGGAGCAGCAGGAGCAGGTAGCAGGGACAGGCAGCAGCAGGAGCGGCAGCAGGAACAAGCAGCAGCGGGAACAGGCAGCAGCGGGATCAGGCATCAGTAGGAACGGCAGCAGGGACCGCAGCAGCGGCGGTCAGAGAACCATGCCCATGGTTGTTTAAGAACCTGAGGAAATAAATCAACCCGAATCCGAAACATTCCCATGCGAATAACCGATGTCCCCGGAGCCATCTGCTGCTTTGGTTATGGTAGAACGCATGAACGATCACTTTTCCATGCGTTCATTAGCTCCAACTCCACTTCAAACCCATTGCATATTCACATTGGGCCCTTTTTCTTTCTGCTGCACTTTCGAAATGTAACAACTGCAGTTTAGTTACCCAGTTTAATACTAGTGACCTAGCTATTTAAATGCATGGCCCCTCCTTCCTCCTGCAGATAGACAAATTTAAATACATCCATTTAACAATAGTGACCTGCGAGTAATGAGATTAATGCTGTAAAGATGGCGCCGTGGCAAGAGTTCTGGTGTGTGCCGTCTGGATCACGATGGGGTAGTCTTTGCACATATTTCCAACGTGGTTTTACTGCAAGTGGCAGAACATGAATCTGAATTATGCACATTGCTCCTCTTATATCCCTCAGACAATAGAGATTGATGCCATTTAAGATGCATTGACCCTCAGTTAGCTCAAACACGTGTGAAAACGGAGCCTGCAGACCAAGCACGGGGCGAAAACTGACGCCTGCAGTCAAGTGCGTAGGGCAAAAACCAGCCGCCTGCAGCCTAGACTCCGGGATTAAACCGTCCGCGGTCAGCACACTCACTGTACTCACATGCCAGGAGACTTGGGAAAAGCAACGGGACGACGCGGCACCGCTAATCGGAGGCAGGGACACGCACGGCACCGCCAGACCGTCTGCGCGCGGCAGCAGACCACGAGGAACGAGCCGCACAGAACCTGCAGAGGGGCCCCGCGGAGGGGCCCCGCGGATCAGCCCACAGAGGAGGAGAGCAGTGGAGACACGCGAACCACAGCAGGTGCAGGGACGCGGAGGAGGAGCAGACCACGAGCAGCCAGACTGAGGACAGCCGGGCCACGCGCACGAGCAACACGTGAGCAGAAGCGACCCCTCCAGAACAACGCATGCATTTGCGAACAGGTGCGTTAGCGACATGCACCTTGCAGGCTTCAGAAGGCCGGGAAAGGGGGAGTCTCCGGCTTTTAACTTGCTGTCCTGGTGGTTATTGGTTGGCTGGATGTGGGCGTTGCTGGTCTGATGAGCCGAGGAAGAGCAGCCTGTAGATCTGGGCAAGCAGCAGCCGGGTCTACCACAGTGAACTTTCGCAAAAGCTCCATATGTATTTTTTTGCAAGCTTGGAGATTAAGGGAAACCTTTTTTGGTTATCACGCCACCAAACCAAGGGATCAGATGATGTATCTAGTGCTTCTTCCTGCAGATACTTTGTTAGTTCCTGGTTTGCTTGTTCTCTCACTGGTACAGCCTCATGTGTTTGTGTCACACGTTGAACTCTCCTGCTTTGTAGGAGATCACTCAATGTTTTTCTTTTAGCACCTGAAGGCCTCTGTTCCGCCACTTCTGCTGTCTCCATCTCTGCAGCTGCACTGCTTGTACCCGCTTCTTGTGCATCTCCATCCTCCATCTTAAGCAGCTCCTCAACAAGCTCTTCCTTGGTGTCCTGCAATACCTCTAAATCCTCCAAACTGCCTCTGTGTCTTGGATCCACAATGGTTGCTTTCCTTAGAAGACTTTGTATATTAGGAGAGCAGTATTTATCTACCAACACCCTGCTCGTGTTGGTCTTGATCTTTGTTGTGAGGTCAGTGTCTTCTGGACTTGGTGCTAACAGTTCACCTTTGATGAGCTCCAGCACTGGCTTTATTGAGGACACTGTGACATACTTCTCACCAGAAAGTATGTCAGTGAAGTCGGCAACAGGCTTCAAGGCTGCATTTATTGACTCCAGCACAGACACATGTTGCCATGTTGGGTTGAGGTGGCCATGTTTTCTATCCTCCACTAGGATTCTTCTGATAGCTGGCAGCTGCTCCAGTACTCTGTCTATCATCTTTTGTTTACTGCCCCATCTGGCCACATCCTGTAAGACAGAAAGCATGTTGTACATCACATTATATGTAGTAATGAATTTGATCTATTTATCTAAGAAGTTATATTTTATATAATGGAGGTATTTATACTTTATATCAGACTGTAAATTAGACAAAGTTAATCATTTAGTTTTAAAGTATTCCAATTAAAACAATGTTTATCAAATGTTAAAAAAATTGCCATTTATAAAACTAACTCACCAGTACAAGTGTGTGCTGAGGGAGGCCAGCGTCTGTGCCTTCATGAGATCCCTCCTCTTTATCCAGCTCACGTTGAAGATTGTCACAAGATTCCTACAGAGTCCACACGCACGCGACGTGCGTTCTTTTTCTGCGTTTAAGGCATTTGTGATAGCCAAATGCAGCTTGTGGCCAAAACAATTGAGCCACGGCCAGCCAAGATTGCGTATTGCTGCCACAATATTAGCACTATTGTCAGTAGTAATGCACGAGAGTCTTCTTTCCTGCAGTCCCCATTCATCCAGTGCATTTAATGTTTTCATCCAGGACAGCGGCAGTGTGGTTCTCAGGCACATATCTTGATTCTAAAAATGTTGAGTGCAAAGACCAATCCTCCGTAATGTAATGCACTGTGAGGCTCATATATGGGGTCATGTTAGAGCTGGACCACATATCTGTCGTTGCGGAGAAGAATTGTACATGTTTTATGTCATTCAGAACACCACTTTTGACTTTGTTGTACAACGCAGGAATGGCAGTTTCAGACATGTACGTCTTTTTTGGTAACTCGTATTGTTTATCAAAGTCCCGCAGCATGTCTCTAAACGCGGGTTTATCCACAGTGTTAAATGGCAACATCTCTTTAGCGATGTAGTGTGTTACGCTGTTTGTGAGGGTGCGCCATTTTACGCTCTCACGTTTATACTTTGTCACCTGGGCAAAACAATCTTCTACGAAAGGCTGTCTACCACGAGATGGTCCTGCCTGTTCAATAGCAGCCTTTTCTCCCAGCTGTGCATACACACTTGGGTGGTTATGCTTCAGATGCGCTTTGAGGTTTGTGGTGTTTCCAGTCTTTGTTGCGACAACTTTTTTGCAAAGACGACATACCGGCTGATTCGGATTGAAATGTTCCCATACTGCGGCTGTTGAATGGGGCTTCTTGATCAGTGCTTGTTCCGCCGCGATTTGATTTTAACTGACGTTTCCAAAGCACAGCTTCTAGCACGCTCTCGAGTTTACGTCCACTACGGCTCTATGTCCAGCTAGCTCCCTCACGTCCTCGCGCTTTCGGCTTGGGCGATGACGTAAGGCGTATAGCTGGCGCACGCATTTGCGCATGCGCAAATTTATTGAGTCTCAAAACGTTATTGTGCATGTTTATATTTATCGAACGATTAATCGAAATAGTAATTATCGTGACAGGCCTACTCTGGAGTCTCTCTCTCTCGTCTCTTTCTCTCTGGAGTCTCTCTCTCTAGTCTCTTTCTCTCTGGAGTCTCTCTCTCTAGTCTCTTTCTCTCTGGAGTCTCTCTCTCTAGTCTCTTTCTCTCTGGAGTCTCTCTCTCTAGTCTCTTTCTCTCTAGTCTCTTTCTCTCTGGAGTCTCTCTCTCGTCTCTTTCTCTCTGGAGTCTCTCTCTCTAGTCTCTTTCTCTCTGGAGTCTCTCTCTCTAGTCTCTTTCTCTCTGGAGTCTCTCTCTCTAGTCTCTTTCTCTCTGGAGTCTCTCGCTCTCTGTGACAAACATGTTGTTTTGTGAATACAGCCTTTGTCTTTTTGCTGCTGGGAAATTTAACTCATGTTAAATCATCAGGAAGAGAATTTAAAAAGCGTCACATGATTTTCCTCGAGGCCACATTCGGTCATGAGTCGATCTCTGAAGTTTAGAATTTGATTGTTTGTTATAATTCAACAAACTCCTACATTTACATTTGTTTTCATGCTCGCAAGCCCCCGCCGGCGGGGGCAAACGAGAAAAAAAATACATCTGCTGGCAATAGCAGATGTATTTTGAACTTCATAAGCCACAAGCTATATATCAGTGTAAAGCTTATTTTCAGACTTTGCATTAAAAAGATATAACGCATAATATGGGCACAAAATAAATCGTGTTTGTGTAAGTTTCTTACCTTTTGTCTTCTGCTGCTCCAACAAATTACTTTCCCCATCCTTGCTTAGTCTCTTTCTCTCCGTAAGTCTTCAGTGAAAAAGAATATCCACTTGTATTTCCCAAAGTATAATCCATTCTTCAGAAATAATCCAAAAATGTGCATTTTTCTGTTGCAAAAAAAACGCTCCGAAAAATGTTCAGGCTTCTCTTTCACATCTCACCAAGTTTGAGCTTTGTTTAGCCCCACAAACATATCCACGTGTTCCTTGAGTCCTTAGCTTCAAAAAGAGAGGTTCCATGAAAAGATAGGTTTCAGTCCAGAGGACCCTTGTGAAAAAGACAAACCGCATCCACTTGCACAGGGTCCGTTTTTGCCTTGTTGTTGATTACAGGCTAGCGCAATGTGCTAGCACTGAATGATTGACGTGTCTAAGTAGCCAATAACAAGAGCTTTCTTTTGACGGGTGGGACTTGTAGGAACTCTTTTCATTTTCACAGTAAAAGCGTGCGTAAAGACGCTGTTAGTACTGCTGCGCATATTTTATATGCATTTACACTACAAAAATTTTTTTTTTGAAAAAATGTAAAAGAAAATCACACAGATTTGTAACTTATAAGTACCAAAACTAAAAAATATGCTTTTTATGATGGTGAAATGTTAGTAAAGCAGTTTGGCACAATTTGGCACACATTTTGCCAAATTGGTTCCGAATGGCACTACTTGATAAAAGAGAAACTGCCTAAAAACTATAAAACTTAGAAGTCTGAAACTTTACACAGTTGTTGTCAACAACACAATGAACAAATTAGCGTTGAAAATTTTCTTCCAATGAAGTAGGCTTTTTTAGGGCATTTATACATTGAATTTTTTAGACGAGGCTAAAACAAAATGGTTTTTTTACCAAACTTCAAAGGATGCAGAGTGAAATAGGAATGACATACATTATTTCAGTGTATATTTACATAAACTAAGGGCCTAGCTTTAAAATAATGCATCACACAAGCATGTGAGATGTAAGATGTGTTTTTAAAACACATCTTAAAAGACATTTGGGTATGCCAAACTTTTGTGCACGAGCCAAAACAGATGTAGGAGTTTAAGAGGTTAATGTTTTATAATGTGAGAGGTCTGTGTATATCCGGAGAGAGGGGGACCAGAGAGAGGGACCCACGCAAGTTTCCAATCCACGTGGTGCCAAATAACCATTATCCAACACTCTTTACACAGCTCCACGGCTCGTTACGCTGTCATTATGTAAAGTATTGTTTTTTTTTTTATGTGTAACTCCCCCTTATCCATAGGGATGTTCGGTGTTCTGACAGACGGACCTTCTGACCTAGACTCGCTCACTCCACCCAGTCCTACAAAGGCTGAATCTAGGCCTCTGTCGTGTTGCATTGTGGGAATACAAAGTATTCTTTGTTGTCCTTCCTGCGTGTATCGTGTCACAGTCCTTTCACATCAGTGCGGTGTCGGTTTGCAGTTTGTGTTTGAGACCAGGAAAACCCCCTTTGGGACCGAGGATTATCCTGAGACCGATCCTCAAAGCTGCTTCTCTGAGCTGAGCCTGAATGGTCCAGAACTGGGCGTTTGTTCAAATACAGGTGTGTAGGAGAAAGGCCGGGAATACTGCAGTAAATGTTACCGACACAATCAGATGTCAGTGAGTCTGGTGTTGCTCCCAAACCAGTCGGAGAGAGGAAGGGAGAGAGGAAGGGGGAGAGGAAGGGAGAGAGGAAGGGGGAGAGGAAGGGAGAGAGGAAGGGAGAGAGGAAGGGAGAGAGGAAGGGAGAGAGGAAGGGAGAGAGGAAGGGAGAGAGGAAGGGAGAGAGGAAGGGAGAGAGGAAGGGAGACTTAGATCTCTGACTCTTCCCTCAGGTCTCCCCTCTCTGGCTCTCCCCTCAGGTCGTCCGTCTCCGACTCTTTCCCCTCTCTGACTCCCCCTCTCCCCTCAAGCCTCCCCTCTGGCGCTTCCCTCAGGTCTCCCCTCTCAGGTTGACTGTCTTTCACCCACCCCTCTCCCCTCATGTCGTCTGTGCTGCTGCTGGCCCCTCTTCCCTCAGGTCTCCCCTCAGTTCATCAGACTCTCTCCCCTCTCTGACTCCCTCTGTGACTCCCCCCTCAGGTTGTCCCTTTCTTGACTCTCCCCTTAGCTCGTCTCTCTCTGACTCCCCTCATGTTGTCCCTCTCTGACTCCCCCCTCAGGTCCTCGGTGCTGCTGCTGGCCCCCCTCCTGGCTGAGACAGACTCCGCCCCTCGTCTGATGCCCCGGTCTCAGAGCTCGGCTGGGGCTCGCGGCACCAGCGACGGCCTCTGCCCGCACTTCAGATGGATGTCCCAGCTGGTGCCGGCGTTCAGAGTACCAGGAACACGCATCCACATCCTCCACTCTCCAGACCAGTTCTACCAAACCATGAAGGCGAGGGCAGGCCGCGGAGGCGAGGGCAGGGCGCGGAGGCGAGGGCAGGGCGCGGAGGCGCTTTGTCTCTAAAATCAGCTAAAAAGAGCTGATTTGAATAAACTAGGTTGAATTATTGATGATGAAGCTAATAATGCTAACAGTACAGCCCTGTGTCCACCAGCCCTTCTTTACCGAACTATACTCTGCTGCGCTCTACTCTACTCGGTTATTTATAATACTAGTTCTGTAAGTCATGTATCATAAATGTGATGTCACACTGACCCAGCCATTAACAAAATCCTTAACGACTTAAGTGGTCATCCTGTACGGCTGTACGATATATAAAAAGAAAGTTATCGCGATATTGGTGCGTGCAAAAAGATGCGCAATAATAAAAAAAATATTTTTTTGTTATTTGTCTCTTGCGTTTCAATGAAGATTGCAATTTTAGGTGAAAGACAAAAATATCGCAATAATATCGTTATCGAAATACTCATATCGAATATTGCTGTAAAACTCTGTTATTATTGCGTTTCCTGTGTTCGAACGGTTTGATTCTCTGATCTGTTTTTGGTGAATCCACAACTGTGTGAAGTCCTCAGACGACTGCTGTTGTGATTTAGGGCAAGACACAGATAATGTACTTTGAAACTAATGTAGAATATATATGAAGTTACCAGGAGGTTACAAAACACTGCCTCCTAGTGGTCATGGGTAGGAATATCACTGGAAAACAAGATCAATTGGTATCACATGCCCAAAGCATCATTGTAACGTCCTAAAGCGAGTGTCAAAGTGAAGGCGGTTCCTAAATGGGTTTTATACAAAACAGAGCGATGACGCAGAAGGGCTGGGGGCACGTGTTTCTCAAAGTGACAGATGGAGCTGAAAATAGGACTGGTGCGTCCTGTTCACATGGTTTAATGTCACATGGTTTACTGTAAAGAGTTGCTCTGATTAGTTCTTGGCTGTTATTAGTTCAAAGACTGATGTGGAGATGTGTTTACGGCATGTTAACACCAGGACTCCCCTAGCAGTCAATTTGACGGCTTTTCATTTTGGAAGTGTCATTACTCCATATGTACGTTTTTGGTTTTCAAAACATAGACTTTTCTAAATGTAGTTTATTTCAATGTTATTATGTTTCAATATGAAATTATCTTGATCTGGACTGGTCCTGGACTGGTCCTGGACTGGTCCTGGACTGGTCCTGGACTGGTTCTGGACTGGTTCAGAATCTTAACAGTTTATTGGCAGCTGTTAGAAGGTTTTTTTTCTATATTTAATTTATATTTAGCATGTGTTAAAGGGAAAAGGTGTATGAAATTTAATAGTGAAAACCTCAAACTGTTTTTAGAGTTCTATTAATTTTGAATTGGAGCTGTCAAAATGACTGCTCCGGGAGTCCTGGTGTTACAGCAGTGTGTGATTCTCATGAACTGGACCTATGTGTTGTTTTTCAGGCGCGGATCAGAACAGCCCAGAGGCGAGTGGTCATGGCCTCTTTGTACCTGGGGACGGGGCATCTGGAGCAGGAGCTGGTGAGAAACTCTTTAAACACTGTAAACAGAGGGACAATGCTAACCTGCTAGCTCAAGGAGGTTCTGGTCTCTCTGCTTTCTCTGTTCTCTCTCTCTGTTCTCTCTCTCTGGTCTCTCTCCCCGTGTGTTGAATACCCCTGCTCTAACTCATGATGTCAAAGCTTCATTAATCCTGGATGTGTGTGCGAAACACTCTCTGGATTCTGCCCAAAAACAACAGTTGTAAGGATCCAGAAAGACTGAGTCACGCGTCTGTTCACACACACACTCTCTGAGGTCGCCTCAAACACTGCCCTCTGCTCCAAACAACCTGAAAACCTCCACTTCAGCTTTCTCTGCTGTTTTTCCACCAAGACGAAAGACTGAGAAGCCCAGAGACCTCCAGACCTCACAGAAAGATGATGGATCACCTTCACGGCAAAAGTTAACATCGCATCCAGTTCCTGAACTAAACGCCACGATATTCAATCCTGTAATAATGCTTTTACTATTGCTTTGAGGTCGAGGGAAATCTGTGCAGCAGGTGTGTGGCTAACGGCTACGTGCTAAAGCTAACGCTCAAGGCTCCGGTTTGGGCCAACAATAATATGCCAGCGGCCTCCTGTGCTAGCTCTCAGGCGTTCTGATCGGAGGAACACTTGGTGCAGTGACAAGAGTGAGCCACACATTTGCAAAAAAAAACAAAGGGGTTTTCTCTCTGCTGGAAGAGTTTGATTCTTGATAGATTCTGGTGTCTTTACATGTACACGTATAGTATAACATGAAGTGGCAATTACTTAAACTCTCTCTGGTCTCTCTGAGCTCCCTCTCTCTGGTGTCTCGCTCTCTGGTCTTGCTCTCTGGTGAAATATGACACATGGTTGAAATGCCTTGTTTGTCTTCTGGTGCTGTAGGTGGACTGTATGGAGGAGGCTCTAGAGAGATCTGAGGAGAACGGCTCCAGACTCAAAGTGTCGGTGCTGCTGGACTACACACGAGGCTCCAGAGGTACCATTTTATGTACTGTGATAAATATGGATGGATTCAAGAGCATTTAAATATGTTTTGTCAAAGAACGACTTGAAAATATGATGTAGAATCATTGGGGACAGACTAAAATGACAAAATGCGTTTCCTTCGCGTGGTGGCTTTCTTTGACATGCGGCAGACATCTTTGAGAGACCAGGGGCAGACATCTTGGAGAGACCAGGGGCAGACATCTTTGAGAGACCAGGGGCAGACATCTTTGAGAGACCAGGGGCAGACATCTTTGAGAGACCAGGGGCAGACATCTTTGAGAGACCAGGGGCAGACATCTTTGAGAGACCAGGGGCAGACATCTTGGAGAGACCAGGGAGGGAACATCTTGGAGAGACCAGGGAGGGAACATCTTGGAGAGACCAGGGGCAGACATCTTTGAGAGACCAGGGGCAGACATCTTTGAGAGACCAGGGGCAGACATCTTGGAGAGACCAGGGGCAGACATCTTGGAGAGACCAGGGGCAGACATCTTGGAGAGACCAGGGGCAGACATCTTGGAGAGACCAGGGGCAGACATCTTGGAGAGACCAGGGGCAGACATCTTGGAGAGACCAGGGGCAGACATCTTGGAGAGACCAGGGGCAGACATCTTGGAGAGACCAGGGGCAGACATCTTGGAGAGACCAGGGGCAGACATCTTGGAGAGACCAGGGGCAGACATCTTGGAGAGACCAGGGGCAGACATCTTGGAGAGACCAGGGGCAGACATCTTGGAGAGACCAGGGGCAGACATCTTGGAGAGACCAGGGGCAGACATCTTGGAGAGACCAGGGGCAGACATCTTGGAGAGACCAGGGGCAGACATCTTGGAGAGACCAGGGGCAGACATCTTGGAGAGACCAGGGGCAGACATCTTGGAGAGACCAGGGGCAGACATCTTGGAGAGACCAGGGGCAGACATCTTGGAGAGACCAGGGGCAGACATCTTGGAGAGACCAGGGGCAGACATCTTGGAGAGACCAGGGGCAGACATCTTGGAGAGACCAGGGGCAGACATCTTGGAGAGACCAGGGGCAGACATCTTGGAGAGACCAGGGGCAGACATCTTGGAGAGACCAGGGGCAGACATCTTGGAGAGACCAGGGGCAGACATCTTGGAGAGACCAGGGGCAGACATCTTGGAGAGACCAGGGGCAGACATCTTGGAGAGACCAGGGGCAGACATCTTGGAGAGACCAGGGGCAGACATCTTGGAGAGACCAGGGGCAGACATCTTGGAGAGACCAGGGGCAGACATGATATAACCCCCCTCCCCTCCTCCCTCAGGCTTGGAGAACTCTCGGACCATGCTTTTGCCGCTCCTCTCCCGGTTCTTGTCCCAGATGAGGGTGTCTCTGTACCACACTCCGGACCTGAGGGGCCTCCTGCGGCTCCTGGTGCCTCAGAGGTTCAACGAGACCATCGGGGTCCAGCACATCAAGGTCTACCTGTTTGACGACAGCCTCATCATCAGTGGGTACGACATCATCACAAACAATAAAATGACAAAACTCATCATCTGCAAAAGTTATAAAGGTAAAATCATCCTGACCTCGACCGAGAGGTTTTGTATCCAGGCTTTTTGACAGAAGGGACTAGAAGTTTCTGATATTAGTTGCAACATGGTTATGCAAATGTCCTATAAGCTGCTGCTGCTGATGTTGGACTGTGTTGTAGGGCGAACCTGAGCGAGTCGTACTTCACCAACAGACAGGACCGCTACGTCCTGCTGGAGGGCTGCTCGGAGGTGGCAGACTTCTTCTCTGATCTGGTGGACGCCGTGGGAGACGTGTCTCTGCAGCTGCAGCCAGACGACTCTGTGACCATGGTGGAAGGAATGGTGCATCCCTATAAAGGTAAAGGTTTACTGTGAACTGGGACTTGGGCAAGAGAGACTTGGGCAAGAGAGACTGGGGCAAGAGAGACTGGGGCAAGAGAGACTGGGGCAAGAGAGACTGGGGCAAGAGAGACTGGGGCAAGAGAGACTGGGGCAAGAGAGACTGGGGCAAGAGAGACTGGGGCAAGAGAGACTGGGGCAAGAGAGACTGGGGCAAGAGAGACTGGGGCAAGAGAGACTGGGGCAAGAGAGACTGGGGCAAGAGAGACTGGGGCAAGAGAGACTGGGGCAAGAGAGACTGGGGCAAGAGAGACTGGGGCAAGAGGGACTGGGGCAAGAGGGACTGGGGCAAGAGGGACTGGGGCAAGAGGGACTGGGGCAAGAGGGACTGGGGCAAGAGGGACTGGGGCAAGAGGGACTGGGGCAAGAGGGACTGGGGCAAGAGGGACTGGGGCAAGAGGGACTGGGGCAAGAGGGACTGGGGCAAGAGGGACTGGGGCAAGAGGGACTGGGGCAAGAGGGACTGGGGCAAGAGAGACTGGGGCAAGAGAGACTGGGGCAAGAGAGACTGGGGCAAGAGAGACTGGGGCAAGAGAGACTGGGGCAAGAGAGACTGGGGCAAGAGAGACTGGGGCAAGAGGGACTGGGGCAAGAGGGACTGGGGCAAGAGGGACTGGGGCAAGAGGGACTGGGGCAAGAGGGACTGGGGCAAGAGGGACTGGGGCAAGAGGGACTGGGGCAAGAGGGACTGGGAAGCTTGTGATGAAATGAAACCGGATGTGAAAATACTTGTTTGTCTCTGTTCTGAAATAGACCAGTGTAATCGTTACCTGTTGCTTGTGTCCAGGAAACAGACAGGACTTCTCCAGAGCGGCTCAGAGCAGGATCATGGAGGTGCTGCAGGAGGCTCAGCTCCGGCAGCAGCTGCAGGAGGACCAGGAGGAGCCGGAGGAGGACCAGGACACGTGGGTCTTCCCTCTGGTCCAGATGAAACCTCTGGGCATCAGTTTGGACGAACAGGTCACACAGGTCGGTCTCACTGTGGTCTTCAGTTCAAGCCTCTAAAACTGTAACATGGTGATTAGTAACATGGTGACGTGTAACCCTCTTGATGTGTGAAATCGGGTAACATTTAGCCAGGGGACAGAGAGACAGAGAGACAGAGCAGAGGTTCTGACTCCTGGTGTCTCCACAGCGCTTGCTGGTGGACTCCTCCTCTGGTTCCTCTGTGTTCCTGACGTCTGGGTACTTTAACCTGACCAGAGCGTACATGCGGCTGGTGCTGGGAGCAGGAGCAGAGTACCGGATCCTGACTGCGGCTCCTGAGGTCAATGGTTTCTTTGGGGCCAAAGGCGTCGCTGGTGCCATCCCTGCGGCCTACGTTCACATCGCACGACAGTTCTACAACCAGGTGGTGCGGCTGAGGCAGCAGGGGCGGGTCCATCTCCACGAGTACCACAGGGACCAGTGGACCTTCCACGCTAAAGGTCTGTGTCCACATGGTGTCCTCAAAGACCAGGAGAGAGAAAAAGAAAGAAACCAGGGAAAGTCCATCACTAGTTTTCACATGAGATTTATTTCTGCGCCTGGTTTTTCTCCCTGGTCTCTCTCTCTCTCCGGTCTTTTTTCTTTCTGGAAAAGTCCTCCTGACGTGTTGTGGTGTGAGAGGAATGTAGCGTGACTCATGTTCTCTGCTTCAAACACTCAACATTTTGGTGAATTCTGTCTGCGGCTTAAAGGACACAATGTCATGAAGCATCATCAGGAAACAGTCTGTTTGTGGTGGTTTTTGTTTCTGAGAAACTGGAGATTAGAGAAAATTCTATTCTTCATAAAACAATGTTTGGATCTCAATTTAGTACTATTAAAATTTGGAAAATCGTTATAACCGGGTAGTCTGGTCGGTCTTTACAGGTCTGCCTCTCATTTCTCTGTGGTCTCTCCTGCTCTGTGCTCTTGTCTCTCTCTCTCTAGCCACCCTCTGGTCTCTCTTGTCAATCTTACTGGTCACTCTCTGGTAGGGATGTAAATCGGCGACCGTTTAACCGGTGGTTGACCGTCACAGCGTTAACCGGTCAAAGCTGTCGGTTAAAAAAGAGAAAAAGGGGAGAGGGGAGGTCTCTTAATAACGCTATTTTAAGCCCTATTTGCACGGTGTGACGAGCGGGTCTGTATCTAGCTGTGTGCGCCCATGTATTATAAACTCCGGGACGACTCTCACGCCGCACGAGCCACATATGCACACACGCACGCGCGCGCACACACACACACACACACACTTTCCCCCTCTCCATACGTAACATCCACACGCATCATCTCTCCCCTCTGTTACCGTCAAAGTTGCACACTGGCGCGGGTCAGAACTACATTGGAGCTTACATTTACACACATATATACATACACACACACATACACACATACATACACACACACATACACACACACATACACACGTACACATACCGGTCTGTCGCGCTCCTCTGTGTCACGGAGCCCAAAGGATTCGCGCAAACACGCGGCTCCAGTCAAACCACATGGAACATGTTTGTGTTTATGGTCCTCGGGATCAGCTCCACACACATCACTTGTATTTAAACTTTTGTGAAGACCTGTGAGACGCGGCTCGTCACTCGCTGCTCTGACCATGTGAACGAGCCGTCGTTTGCTGCTAGAAAGTTTTGGTATTAACCCGCAGCTCAGCAGAATGGGAAGATTAAAAAAGCAGTTCTCTGTGCGCAAAGGTGCCGAAGCTGTTGCGGGTTTGGGCGCCGCTGTCTCAGCTCTGATCCAGTAGAACGCAGAGCTGCACTTATGAAAAGTACGCGGCTCGAAATGGCTGTTATTTCAAAGAACGTGGACTATTTTAAACTACGCGGTTAACCGGTTTCAACCGGTTAATGAGGCTCGGTGGTCGGTCATGAAAATTCATAGTTTTTTACATCCCTACTCTCTGGTCTCTCTCTCGTCTCTCTGATCTCTATCTGCACTGTGACTTAAAAAGACTTATTTTTAAGTCACAGTTTCGACCATTTTATTTCTACTCGTTCCCGTCTTCCCTGTGGAAAAAATTTGACACGGGTTCAAACAACACGGGTCTGCAGTGTGACTCGAATGGACTCAAACATACAGTGTGTTGTGTGTAAATAACAAGTGAAATGAAATGTAGAGAAGCTGTAATGTGTGTGTTGTGGTTGCAGGACTGTGGTATTACCTGGCCGGACAGCCCCGCCCCTGCCTCACTCTGATTGGCTCTCCAAACTTCGGGTACCGGTCGGTCCACAGAGACCTGGAGGCTCAGATCGCCATCGTCACGGACAACGAGGATCTACAGACGCAGCTGCAGGAGGTGAGAACCATCAAGCACATCAAGTCTCATGGTTCATAAGTCGGTCTCCTGTTCAAGAAGAGACGAAAAACACAACATAATCATTTTAAAATGTATTACTTTCAATTTGTGTTCTGGTCTCTCTCTCTTCTTGGTCTCTCTCTCTGACATCTCTCTCCCTGGTATCGCTCTCCGGTCTTAGTCCCAGTAGTAAACCAGAGTGAGATGGTCCATGGTTTCTCTTGTTCAGGAGCAGCAGATGTTGTATCATCGTTCGTCTGAAGTCTCCAGCTCCACGTTCGAGCGTCCGGATCGACACGTGAAGCTGTGGGTCAAACTGGTCACGCCCTTCATCAAGAACTTCTTCTGACCCAGGTGACCCCCAACCCTTGAACCCCTGCCCCCTCACCTCTGAGTAGCAGAACAGTGAGGGACGGAAGTATCACTGTTGTTTTAAAATGTATTCTGTATTCAGCTAAACTGTCACTTTCCAATCCAATTTATTTGTATAGCACATTTTATAAAACATCACTCCTGTTATGAACCTTGTAAACAGAACTGAGGCCCAGAGTCTGAGAGGACAAACACATGATCAATCAGATTCTTATCATTTGTCTGTTTTTCTGTTCAACCTATGAACTATTCCAAGCATCTGTTCAGGATAATAACAGCTGCAGGCGTCGTCTTTTAACCGTCAACTCTTCTCAGAACAAACTGGAACAGATTCAAAACAAACATGTCCAAAAGCATTTACTCCACACCCGAGAGAGACTGGGGTAGAGAGAGAGAGAGAGACTGGGGTAGAGGTAGAGAGAGGGAGACTAGGATAGAGGTCTTCACCCTTACCCCGTCAACTTTCAGCCCAAAGCCTCAGAAAGTGACTCCCAGGGCCCAGCTCAGCCCTGAGAATCTTCAGATCTTCAGTCAGACGGTAAATCTCTCTTTGTGTCATATCAGTCGCTCTGCAGCATTTCTCAGGTTTGCAGGAAGTGGACCTCCCCCTGACGGTCAGAGGGTGGAGCTGTTCTGAGAGACTGAACGTTCTCTGTATCAATAACAAAAGAAGTGATAAAGGAGATGTTCCAAACCGGCCGAACCACAAAGCCACATTACAAGGAAGTTCATCCAGAAGCTGCTCTTACCGGCAGAGGTGGTGTGGCGGGAATGAGACCTGCAAGCGGCTAATGTGGCACGTGTCTCCAGCTGTGTTCTGTAAACATGTAACACTTTGGCTGAAATCCAAAATGTGACGTGTCTGGCTCAAAATTAGCTCTGCTCTTCAGTAGCAAAGCACCATCCCCTGTGTCTAAAATGGGGCTGCCTTTCTTCAGCAGGGACAGGGGAGTGTGGATGGAGATAAATAAAGCATATCATTGGCTGCTTAAGCTGTGGTTTCCATCAACTCTGCTGTATGAAAACTTATGCAAGCCCAGAATGACAATATCCATGTATTTTGTTTTCACTTTACACTTGTGGTTTTTTAGTATAATAAAAAAAGATGTCAGAACGAGAGAGTTGGGCTTAACCAATGTTTCTGATCGCTACCTCCAACTCTCTGCACTTGTCTCCCCCTAGTGGCTGAAGTTTAAATATGTCCAACTTGACTTAAACCTGGGATACAAAACTTACTTTCTCTATAAACGTGTCGTCTTCAGCTGATTAGAAAACATCTGAGAGACCAGAGAGGGAGAAAGACCAGACCTATGGACCATCTTTATAAAAAGCAACACTAGCACAATCATACTTTTAAAAACTAACAATAACCAAAGTCACTGTTTGTTTCAGACTGCTGTTGTCAGGACGCGCAGACGCCGCTCTGCATTCTGGGAGTTGGAGTTCCCCAGTGACAGAACATTTCAATGGAGCTGCTTCATGCATGCAGTAAACTCATCTCACATGTTTCTAAATGTGGGACGTGGACTCGAAAGCGCCTTTTAAAGTAACTGGGAAAAACGTACACTGTACAACTGCGAATCTGTAAATAAAACAGACTAGTGAGTTTTTATAACCTGCTGTTTTTACTGGAGGCTTACTTTAACTTTTAGTAGTTTAGGGAGAGAAAGACTGACCTGAGTGAGGCCAGAGGGAGAGTTTAATGAGTGAAAGAGAGAGAGGGAGAGAGTGACCAGAGGGAGAGTTCAGTGAGTGAAAGAGAGAAGACTGACCAGAGAGAGAGAGACCAGCAGTTAACAGCTTTTTTCAGACAGAAAAGTGAGACTGAGGCGACAGTTCAGACACAGAAAATAAACAGTCATTGGTTCTTAGGGATCAGGACGACCTTCGACTCTCCTGCATCAGAACCACTCAATATTCCAGATTTCAATCATACATTTGCTTTCCTCATGAAGTTTCCAGCGGGAACCAAAGACGACAGTTTGACTCATGACGATGTTTCACTGATGGAAAAACTCTTCTACATAAACCATTCTATTGAAACACTGAGACCAGTTCCTTTTCATAGTTTATTTTACACAAATAAATAACCTCTTGATAAATACAGTGCTTTGACCATAGAATCCTCAGTATTAAATATGGACTTTTCAAAAAGCTGAAATAATGTGGAACTGTTGCTGTGGTTACGACGCTTTCTGAGACGAGACTTTCTTCTTGCGAGCCGCGAGCATCTCGTAGAACGGGTCTTTGCTGATGGCGGCTCTGTGGGCGAGAACAGTTCAAACTGGTTAGAGGCTTTTATTCAGACCCCATCACTCCCTGCTGGTGGCTTCATGTATGACATGTGTAACGGTTGGATTAAAGAGCTTGGGTTTCTAACTTTCACATGTCTGCCCTCAGGCTCTCTGCCTCAGTCTGTCTCTCTGCCCTCAGGCTCTCTCTGCCTCTGTCTCTCTGCCTCCGTCTTTCCCTGTCCTCAGTCTCTCTCCTCTTACTTGATGCAGCTGATCCACTGGTCCTTCTCGTCGCTGCTGGGAGCTGAGATCCTGTAGAATGTGTGGTTTCCTTCCACCACTCGTCCGTCTGCTTCAGTCTTACAGGCTTTGATCACCTGGTCCTTGTGCTCCGGGATGAACAGCTCAAAACAGTTCTGACAAAGACAAACACACAGATATTTTGGGCCAGTTTCCATGTAAGTCTAGAAATGACCAAGACTAAATTTATGTGTAATACCTACTGTATATCCAGAGAATATCCAATGTGAAAACAGCAGAATGAGAAGAATTAAAACTCACTGGTTTCTTGGATTCGTCCACTTCTCTGATGCTGAGGTTTTCCAGAGGGATGATTCCTCTGGGCTCTTTGTCCTTTGGGAAAACAACATTATTCCAGTCTGAGGGTTCGGGTGAGGCGGCAGAATACTCACTGTGGTGTATTCAAAGTAGTAGAGGCAGTTGTCTGTGAGGATGAACCATCGTCTCTTCCACGTTTTCACTCTTCCTCCTTCAAAAAAAAACTGGAAACTTTACAGCTGCAGGTTTTCACATCAAACTAAACTAGAAAAGGCTGCGTTCACAGATTAAACCTCAGATTTCACAAGGACCTAGGTTATGTCAAAACTTTATTTCTCACTTCCTGCAGCTCATCAGGTGGAATCCCTTAAACAGCTGAGACCGTCCCTGCAGCATGCCCTGGTCTTTACCGAGACTTCACACTATTCCACACTTTAGAATTATAAACTTAAATCTTCCAGAGTTCAAAGCAACACATGTGAACGCAGCCTTTTCCTTAGTCTTAGTTTTTAGGTTAAACATTTTAAGCAGTCTTTAGCAGCAGCTCGACACCGTGTTAAACCGTGAGAACAGTGTCACAGCTTCAACTCAGATTTCTTTAAAATAGTGTGATGAGAAATAACTTCACAAGATCAGATCCATGTGATGTAGATTATGGAAACATTTCTGTTTACCTCATTTCAATGTTAGTCTTGTCTACGCAGTCGAGCTGATGCGGAGTGAGGATGGTCTGTCACTTTTCAGAAAAAGTTGATCCAAAAATGTGACAGACAGAAACACATGAAAACTAGTGATAGCAGTAAAACAGTTTGAGACCAGAGACATGGATTTTATTATTAGTGACATTGTTTCAAAGTTACGTTCCCGAGCTTTAAAACTGTCATACACACTTTCATTACAAGCACAAGCAGAGCAGACAGTTAAAACAGGCAAAGCGCAAGTGGTTTTAGCTGTAAAAATAAACGTAACTCACCTCCTGCAGAAACACGAGGGAGAAACAAAAAGACACAATCACTTTCACTGACACTGGACTTGGTTTTGAGGCTTTTCTCATTGCGCTAAAGAGAGACCAGCGAGAGAGACCAGAAAGAGACCAGCGAGAAAGACCAGAGAAACTAGATCAGAAGTTGGATTATAGTTCAAGGAAATGGGGCAGTGCTGTGAAACCGTCTGCACAGGACCGAATGTGACGGAGGAGTTTGGAGATGATGAATGAGCTAAAACTGTGTGTCTGAGGTCGGCGAGGATAGAGCTAAAAACAAACCTGAGAGAACAATGTTTCACTGTACAAAAAACACTAATGTGATGTTGCATATAGAGCTAAGATTTTTTTATAGAAATCAATATTTTAAATAGAATTCTGTCAGTAATTTTTATGTTTTAGATTTTCTTTCAGATTATTATTTTAACAACAAACTTAAGTGGTGACCCGCCCAAAATTAGGGTAAATTTTGGCAAAGTCAAAAAAGCTTGAAAAAAAAAAAAACCTTTTAGGATATTTCTCTTTGCTTTGAATGTCTCTTCTGTGCTTTTCTTTCTTATCGATTTTGTGAATTCTAGATTCCAAATAAACACTTGAGTTGAAACAACTGTGGGTCATACTGAGCCAAGGACCATGTTTTATCCGTGAGTGTAAGGAGCGTGTACCGAGTTTGAGTAGCCAGCCTTCTCTGTCGGGGTTGAAGAAGGTGTGCGTCAGATCGTTACCGTCGTCCTCTGGGATTTTAAACGGCTCGTTCTTGATGCTTTCGTAAAGATTCTGAAACAGACAAAGGAGGATAAAGAGGATAAAGAGGAGGAGGCTCAGTTCAGAGGAGAGAGTGAGGAGAAGATGCATGCAGAGAACACTTAGGAACCAGTCTCTCCCTCTCTGGTCTCTCCCCCTCTCTGGTCTCTCTCTCTCTGCAGTGGTGTGAGAGTCTGACCCTGAGCAGGTCTTCGGGCAGGTCTCCTCCGTCGTTGATGCCTCGGTTCATGGAGGTGAATCTCTGAACAGACTGTTTGTCTTTGACATTGGGGTTGTGTAAACTGGTGTTGAGCATAATGACCGCGAAGGACAGGATGTAACAGGTGTCTGCAACGAAACACACATGTCAGAAGAAGAAATCTGCATCAGAAGAAACATCTCAGAAGAAGAAGAGCACTTTACTGTACTTGGCTCGGCTCCACTCAGCTCTACTTGGCTTTAGTCTGCTCTACCTGGCTGTCTCACCTGTGTTCTGGAACACGCCCGGGTTACAGCAGCAGTATCTTCGGGCGAACGCCTCCATCATGCGGTCGATCTTCTGAGCTTCTCCTGGGAGCCTGAAGCTCCAGAGGAACTGCCTCAAGGCCTGGACCAGGTTCAGGTCCGAGAACTCGTGTAAAGCCACAAAGGACTTCAGCACCAACAGGTTCAAGTCGTCCCTGGAAATGGAACCAGAAAACAAAGTCAGCGATCAGAAGATATTTTAAATACAAAATATTAAGAATTATTGTCAGAAAATTAAGATGATAATGAAACTACTTTGTTTTTCCATGATTTAGAAAGTGATAAACTGTCTTCAGTAGAAAATATTTGAAGGTAAACTTGCTAAACTTTCTGCCTGTGACTCCCGGAGCTGCCACCAGGGGGAGCTGCAAACATGTGATTGTAAAGAATGTAGTGACACCTGAGAAATCACAACTGATTTATGAGAAACACTTTTGTTTTTAAAGAAACCTGCTCCGAGTATGACGTCAGTATGATGTCATAGTGGTGCAATGACATCATACTTTCTCGCTCTCTGATCCTGGTAAGTAAGTAAGTAAGTAAGTTATTATTTATATACCGCCTTTTCACTGCAGATCTGAGTCTCAAAGCGGTTTACAATTGTTAATTTTTGGGCATTTGTCTCTCACTCCACACAGAGATGGGAGCAGGGTCGCCAGTACAGGAAGCGCATGCCAGAACTATTGGACATATTTTTAGTGGTAGGGGAAACCGGAGTACCCGGAGGAAACCTACGCAGACACGGGGAGAACATGCAAACTCCACTCAGAAAGGCCCTGGTCCGGCCGGGATTCGAACCCAGGACCTTCTTGCTGAGAGGCGAGAGTGCTATCCACTCAGCCACCGTGCCGCCAGCCACCAGCCACCTGGTGAATATATGTGTTTTTATCCAAACATAAAACATCTTACTATTAATGCCTAATAAAAATGTCTGAGAGCGAGACACAATCCAGAGCCATCGGTTCCCGGCCCCTGCACGAGTGAGTATGAAGCACATTTCACTGAAGTCACACAAAGCTCTTTACATTCTGATGTTTTCTCTCCTCGCACAGAGACGAAGCAGAACACTCCATTCATTCATTCTCTCGTCACATCGATTTCTGTAAAACTCCTGAATTCCTGCAAACTCCAGAAAGGCCTGGAGATGGAATCGAACAGGACCTTCTTGCTGTGAGGCACAAGTGCTAACCACTGCGGCGCTGGAGGACAGAGGTTAAAGGTCACCTCTCTCCCAGATAGTCCCCGATCGCCGTCTTGTTTAGCCCCTCCCCTTTGAACAGGAACCGAGCGATGTCATCACTGGTGTTCTTCAACAGACCGCTGTCAATCAAAAACCGGATCCCCTGGAAAAACACGTGTGTGCGTTTTTAGAGAAAGAGATAACTCGTATTCTCATTATTATAATCATTATTTTTTTCATTAATATTTATTTATTTGTCCGAGTGGAACATACAGGAAAGTAGTAACAGTAACATATACAGTATATTGTTTTAAGATCATTTTTGGTTTAGTTTAGTTTATTGATTCATGTACTTTTTGTTTATGGAAAGTTAAACATAAAACCAAAAGGGCTTTTTCTTACCAACAATTTGAACATGAACAAATGGAACAGGAAGAATGAGAGAGACCAGAGAGAGACCAGAGAGAGACCAGAGAGAGACCAGAGAGAGACCAGAGAGAGACCAGAGAGAGACCAGAGAGAGACCAGAGAGAGACCAGAGAGAGACCAGAGAGACCTAACCGGCTTGGACAAACTATTTTCAGATATTGTGGTATAGATCCACATTTGGAGTCACCTTCTTCGGATCCATGTTGAACTTCTTGCGGCCGACAGCCATCTGCTTGTTCCTCTGCATCGTCTTCCTGAAACAGAGATAGTCTTTCATAAACAAACGACATGAGAACGAAAAGTCAGAGAGTTCCAACAGAGACTCATCCTCATGTGAAGAGCAGCGTCTCCTGAAGCTACTCCACATTTCAGTATTTTAACAATAATCTGAGTGTTTCTAATTACACAACTACAAAAATCTACTATAATTAAAGATGACATTTTAAAAGATACAAAAATAAAAAGGTCAAAGCTAATGGCAGATTTAGCCGATAAGCAGTATTCTAAGCTGGTGCTATGAGACTTGGGTGGCATCTCTGACTGCCACCCCCCTGACCCAGAAATGGATTAAAGGGTAGAAAATGGATGGATGGACAGTATTCTAAGGTCACAGATAGCAGAGAGAGAGACCAGGGACCCGAGAGAAACGAGAGAACAGAGAGAGACCAGAGGGAGAGAGAGAGACCAGAGAGAGAGAGACCAGAGAGAGCAAGCAGAGAAAGAGACCAGAGAGAGAGACCCAAGGCAGAGAGCAGAGAGAGAGACCAGAGAGAGAGAGACCAGAGGGAGACCAGAGAGAGAGACCCAAGAGAGAGACCCAAGGCAGAGACCAGAGGGAGAGACCAGAGGGAGAGACCCAAGAGAGAGACCCAAGGCAGAGACCAGAGGGAGAGACCAGAGGGAGAGACCAGAGGGAGAGACCCAAGAGAGAGACCCAAGGCAGAGACCAGAGGGAGAGACCAGAGGGAGAGACCCAAGAGAGAGACCCAAGGCAGAGACCAGAGGGAGAGAACAGAGAAAGACCAGAGGGAGACCAGAGAGAGAGACCAGAGAGAAACCATGTATACATGTAAGCCACAGTCTATAAAACAGTTTTTATCTCTGTCTAAATGACTACATCTTTGTAGAGAGCTTAAATCAAGAGTTTCATCTTTGGACTCCACTCCCTCTTCACAACAGTCTGATGTTTTCGTGCCAACTAAAACTGACCAAAATAACATATTTTAGAGTCATTGCCGTGATGATGGAGGAGGACCAGAAATGCAGGCAGTGTTCAGGTCCCAGTGGTTGGAAAAGAGCCCAGACAATCATGTGAGAGAAAAGCTTGTTTGTTTTCACGTACAGCTCCAGTGGAACGAGGCTTAGTGATTATTTACAGATTTTCTTAGCGTTTGTGAGAAACTGTGTGTTACTGTGTTTTCTCACCGTTCCTCAGACTGACCCAGGTGCTCGATCTCACAGGTCACCTCTTCAATCTCATCTTTTAACCGCTGGAGAAAAGGCAAAAAGAACATTTGAATAACTTAAACAATCGAAGGTGAAGTTATTATATCAATATAATCTCAAACTGATCGTGATTGTGGATTTTTAATCTTTAAAATGTGAAAGACCAGAGAGAGACCAGAGAGACACCAGGGAGAGAGCAGAGAGAGAGCAGATATGAGACTAGAGAGAGACCAAAGAGAAACCAAAGAGAGCAGAGAGAGACCAGAGAGAGAGCAGATATGAGACTAGAGAGAGACCAAAGAGAAACCAAAGAGAGAGCAGAGAGAGACCCCAGAGAGAGTAAAGAGATCAGAGAGAGACTAGAGAGACCAAAGAGAGACCTGAGAGAGACCAGAGAGAGACAAGAGAGAGACCAGAGTGAGACTAGAGAGAGACCAAAGAGAGAGCAGAGAGAGACCGCAGAGAGACCAGAGAGAGACCAGAGAGAGACAAGAGAGAGACCAGAGTGAGACTAGAGAGAGACCAAAGAGAGAGCAGAGAGACCGCAGAGAGACCAGAGAGAGACCAGAGAGAGACCAGAGAGAGACCAGAGAGAGACCAGAGAGAGACCAGAGAGAGACCAGAGAGAGAGCAACTAGAGTAGAGTAGAGTAGAGTTGGTGGAAACGGGGCTATGACTGTGACTTTAACCTGGAGGTATGTGGAGCAGACCCAGCCGCTCCTACAATATCCTCCCCAGGACCGAGCACCTGTTTTGGGGTCACATCGGACCACACGCCCCCCCCCTCCTCTGACTTTAGTCTTGACCCAGATCCAGTCCGGGACCCTGCGGATGTTTGCGGACTCAGAGTGGGATCAAAGTCTAACCGAGGCTTTAACCTCCATCAAAGGGAGAACAGGAGGAGACCAGCCTCTACCAGTGAAAACAAACACGTTTTATAGCAACAGGAAATACAGAGCGACGGCAAAGAGATTATTTACAGATTATTGTGAGGAAAAAACACCACAATTTAACAAATATGTGAAATCATCTTTTAACCTTGGAATAGGATTAAAAAGTACTGGTTCGATTGGCAAAAAATACATGGAAATTGTTTGTTTTTTGCTCATAAAACGCCACGATTACCTTTGTTTGTACGATTATATATATGACTTTTGGTCGTTCTTACAAAGAGGCGCAGACGGCATGTTGTGGTCTGATTCATACACAACATCAGACTTTGACATGAAACTGTAAAAGTCTCGTGGGGACATAAAGTCAGGTACCCCAGCTTTAAATGATGTAGAGTTTGTGCACCTGGATGTCCTGGAGCAGCTCCTGTTTGCGGCGGCGGATCTTCTCCAGCTCCTGCTTCTCCTCAGGGCTCAGGTCGTCAGGGACTGAAACAGCACAGGGTTAGCATCACTACTGCAGACCGGTTTAGACCCATTTCACCGCTCGAGTGCTGCTGGAAGCCGTGGTTACCCAGGAATTTACTCCAATACTGGTTCGTTGTGGGTCAGTTGCTATGATACGGTACCAGATAATCAAGTGTAATGGAAATACAACCAGGTAAAGTGGAGGGGCAAACGTGTTGCTAAGACGGTTGCTAAGGCAATTTGAAGGCCTCTGATTGGTCAAAAATTATATATCTCATATCTGGATTTACGTTAAGACAATATCCCATAAAAACTCCAGGATCACAAAGAAGAATAGACCACAGATTGTTAAGCCCAAAAATAGTGAGTGTGACGCAAACAGTGACTGGACTTTACTTTTACATGTTAATAGGGGCCAGAGAGAATTGGAGCGAAACTTCGTCCATGAGCACCTCCCTGTTGGGTTTCGTTGAGCTAGCAGGTTGAGGTTAGCATTGTCCTTCTGTATACAGTCTGTGTTTGGACCTGACCTCTGGAATCTCATGGCGGAGGTTTGGTCTTAGTTTTCTTTGTTGAGGTAAAGTTCTGAGTCGCAGACGTTGGGCTTTTTATAAATCACAGTTTCCATAGCAACACATCCAATAATTTGCCCAAACAATTTCAGAAGAGAAAATTGTCTTTTTGATCTTTTCACGCAGCAGTTTCTGAATCATAATTTGAGCCAAAAATCCACAGTGTGTAATTTAGTTTGGCTCATTCTGGAAACTCATTCTGTTGGGATTTTAGTGTAAAACATCAAAAAGTTTCTCGAAGTTACTCGAGTACTCAATATCTCAAAACACAACATTCAAACATTCAATGAAATAGAATGGATTTGCTTCACTTTAAAACATTATTTACTTGCGATATAGAAGGATTTTGAGCTGATCATGGATGTGGCAGACCTTTGAAGCTAAGCAGGACAGGGCCTGGTAAGTACTGTGATGGGAGACCTCTGGGAACACCAGGTGCCAAACTGTCGATGTGTCCTTAGGCAAGACACTTCACCCACATTGATTAGATAGAGTCTGGTGTGTGTGTGAATGGAGACAGAAGCCAAACATACTAAAAACTACTGACAGAAGAAAACTGTTTTGAGACAGATTCATTACTTTGTTTTTATTCATCTTTAATTTCAAGGCGCTATTTTCTTACTTCTTCCTCCTCCTTTCGAGCTCTATGTCGCACTTAAACAAACACTGATGTATTTTTAGTTGCGTCAGCTGTATGTGTCGCTCTGAGCTCAAATGAACAATCCGACCATGTACCATCAGTGAGTTAGAAGAAGAACTGGTTGTGTTAAAAGTGCTGATCTCTCTGGACTGGACTGGACTGGACTGGCCTGGACTGGGAGGTTGCATCAGAAACAGAGCAGACTTCTTCAAAGACTTCGGGTGGAGTGTGTCTGCAGGACGACGATAAGATATATCTATATTCAACGTACGGGTTCAAAGTATTCTACGTGAAGCCTTTTCCAAGAAGAATAATGTTTCGTAGGATCTCAGGAGGATGGATTATAGCCGAGACCTGAGCTGGGATCCAAGAACAAACATGAAGGCAATATGTTTGACTTTTTAAAGCTGGGGTAACCTAACTTTCAGACTACAATAACAGAGCTGTTTTATAGAAGAAAACTGGTTCGAGTGAGTGTAACTTGTTATGCCTTTCACTAGTTTATTTTTTGTTTACTTCTGTCACAATTTTAGAGATCCTCATTTAGATAATCAGAGAGGGACTAGAGAGAAACCAGAGAGACTAGAGAGGAAGACCAGAGAGAGAGACCAGAGAGAGACCAGAGAGAGACATGAGAGAGACATGAGAGAGACATGAGAGAGACATGAGAGAGAACAGAGAGAGACCAGAGAGAGACCAGAGAGAGACCAGAGAGAGACATGAGAGAGACATGAGAGAGAACAGAGAGAGAACAGAGAGAGGGAGACCAGAGAGAGACAATAGTGGGGTTAAAACATAACCACATGAATCCTATTGTTATGGTTTTTTGGATCGTATTCTTTCGTGCATAAATTCAAAACACAGATTCAACAAGAATAGAAAACAGATTACATGGAAATCCTCTGAAAAACCGCAGTCTTAGCAAAAATATACAAAAAGCAAAAATACAGCAGTTTGTCCCGACTTCGTGGAGTCTGTAGAAGTTCAAAAGGTCCTCGTTTGTAACAATCAGGTTTTAGTTTCTTCATAAGGAAACAGCCTCATGAAGAATGCTTCTGCTTTGACCCTGTTCTTCCTTCAAAAAACATTTAGAATCAGTCTCTGACGCCCAAGATCTCTCTCTGCGTGCTTTCTCCCTCTCTCTGTGTGCTCTCTGCGTTCTCTCTCTTTCTCTGCGTGTGCTCTCTCTCGCTCTCTGCGTGCTCTCTGCGTGCTCTCTGCGTGCTCTCTGCGTGCTCTCTGCGTGCTCTCTGCGTGCTCTCTGCGTGCTCTCTGCGTGCTCTCTGCGTGCTCTCTGCGTGCTCTCTGCGTGCTCTCTCCCGCTTTTTCCGCGTTCTTCGTCTCTGCACTCTCTCTGCACTTTCTCTGCTTGCGCTCTCTCTTCATAAGGAAACAACACTATGAAGAATGCTTCTGCTTTGACTGCTCGCTCTATGCTCTCTCTCTCTCTCATCATTTGATGTTATCATTCCCCATGAGTAAAGTGGTCCTGATGTATCTTTAGCATGAGTCTCAGCAGGTGTGTGAGAGTTTCTGCTGCTTTGTTCTAATGATGTCACTGATATCCAGTTCAGTCGGTAGCAGCAGCTGTGGCTCCGTCAGCAGTGAGCAGATGGAACCAGGACCGAGCGGAGACCAGAAAAACACGTTCAGTTCTATGACCATATAATTCTGCCTCTGCACATTGTGTAACAGGACTGCACTTAACCAATGGGGTGGCCCCTCCGGTCTCTCTCACTCAAAGGTGTTCAAACTTCACCAGACTTGTGTCTGTCATCTCAATGGCTTCTTTATGTTAGCAGCAGAGAGCCATATAAAATGATACCGAGGGCCATAATGGGATCGGGGGCCTGGGTTTGGACATAAATCTGATTTAAGATTAAATGTTCAGTAGCAGCTTTCATAGCAACAAGTCTCTGAAATATATACAGTCTATGGTCTCGACACAAAGTGATATCAAGTCTAAAAACACCATACTACTGTAAATTACATGAAAACAGAAGAATTATGAACAGACCTTTGCAATATTGACCATTCATCCAGCAGTCCTCCAGGGGAACCGTAGCAGCAGCAGTAGTAGTAGTAGCAGCAGTAGCACTAGCAGTAGCAGCAATAGCAGTAGCAGTATCAGTATTCCAGTTCTACCAGTGCAGTTCTGTGGTGAAGCTCTCCTCAGACTAAAACAGTGTCTAATCTGGGACATGAGCTTTGGGGAAACCCTCCTCTGCTTCAGTCTGGACGTCCCCCCTCAGACCTCCTCCCCCCTCACCCCCAACACCAACAGCTCCCCCTGGTGGACAGAGCCTGATTATGAGGACCTTAAAGCTGAGGTTCCTAAATATTTCCTAAACACTACATGATGTTTGCACTCTCTTTGTCACTTTTCTGTCTGAAAAAGCTGATCTGAGCCAAAAGCATGAGATGTAAAAAGTAGTTTTTTTGAGCGGCTTGAAAGTTAGATATCCCAGCTTTAACTTCATCTTTACCTTGAATAACATAGGAAAATTAGACTTTAGTTGGAATCAACCATCACCTGTAATCTGATGGACAAAACTGAGTCGCAGAGAGAGACCAGAGAGACCAGAGAGAGAGACCAGAGAGAGACCAGAGAAAGAGAGACCAGAGAGAGAGACCAGAGAGAGACCAAAGAGACCAGAGAGCGAGAGAGAGACCAAAGAGACCAGAGAGTGCAGAAACAGACCAGAGAGAGGGGGAGAGACCATCTATTTCACATCTTTAGATCAGCTTCTTTCAGACAGAAAAGTGACAAAGAGAGGACCACCCTCACTCAGCCAATCAGCTCTCAGTCTAGCCCAAATAAAATGTCAGGTTTCCAGCTCCACAAGTGTCGTCTTTAAACTCAGATGAAAGCCTCGCTGCGTGTGTAAAACAGCAGTTTAATTAACATTTTACAGATTTTTCTCATAAACTTCAAACTGTGTGGGAGGTCTTCACCGCCAGCACTCATTTAACCATAGAGTGATCCAGCTGCATCTTCCTCTACTGGCCAACTCTGGAACTCTGCTTTTAACATAGAATGAAGAGCAGCTGACTCAGGCCTGGGGGAAAAACTGGGACCCAAACATTTATCTGAAGAGCGTCTGTGTTGCTCCTGGTCCCACATCCTGCACCTCAGGCTCGGACGACCAGATACATGCACAGAGTAAATATATCAGATGTGAATTGATAAAGAATAGAATAGTTTTTCTTGTGATTTTTGAGGACATGAACCATAGAGAGACAAGAGAGATCAGAGAAAGAGACCAAAGAGAGACCAGAGAGACGAGAGAGAGAGACCAAAGAGAGACCAAAAAAAAGAGACCAGAGAGACCAGACAGAGAGAGAGACCAGAGAGACCAGAAACTAGCCTCTCTTTATCTGGGGCCAGGGAGATTCTGCCATATTCCCAGGCCAGAGGAGAGGCACAGACCAAACACCAGACCACATAACACACATGGATTTGTAGTCTGGGAATCATCCATTCATTTTCTGGTAGGACAAGTGTGGTTTAGGATTGTCCAGAACAGTGGGGGCGGGTCCCGGGTCAAAAAGGTCCATGAGCATGTGCGCCACCATGCTTGCAATCCCACTCCAGGCCTGTGGGGTCCAGACAGAGCTGTTTATTGGGCTGAATGTCTCTCACATGCTTTTAACCAGTGAGAGACAAGAGAGAAACGAAAGAGATTGACAAAAAGAAGAGACCAGAGAGAGACAAGCGAGAAACCAACAAGAGAAACCAGAGAGAGAGACCAGAGACATTGTTCCCCAAATCCATGCAAAAAGTTGGTCCAGGGTTTCCAGGCAGTTGT